TAAACGGAATCGCAGCCAGCGATTAAGATTAAAAAAATGTTATCATTAATCGTACAGTTGATTACGACTAATTAATTTTAATCGTCAAGCGCCATTAACATTTTAATCGTTAATTTTTAATCGTTAATCAGATTAACAGTTTGCCAACACTGTGCGAAATCATGTTCATATTCACGGAGAAAAATGGAGGTTTTTGGAAAATTGGCGTAGCACCTCCCATACTGACTGAAAGTTTCATATTGCATATCTCTTCAAATGTTTGGGGTAAAGCACTCAAGCTTGGTATGGAAATACATATGTATGTATGTATGTATGTATGTGAAACTAATACCATACTCATGGAGAAAAATGAGAGTTATTGGAAAAGTTGGTGTGGCAACTCCCATGAAAATTGATTTTTCTATGCTGCATAACTATGGAGGTGTTTATTGCAGAGGACTGGAACTTGGCACCGAGATGTGTATAAAAAATTACGTGGTACTTCCAGTACAAATTTACTTTTTATTGCCACATATCCCTGGAAGTATTTGTGGAAGAATACTGGAACTTGGTATGGAGTTGTGTATACAAAATGTATCAATTGCTAATGGAAAAAATGTGAGTTATTAAAAAAGGAGGCATGTCGCCTCCAATACATACTAAAACCTTCTTAATACATAATAAGTATTTTAAATTTGTTATGGAGATTATTTTATAAGTGCCGTACTGACAGAATAAATTTCATTAAATGGAAAAGGGAGAGCCGGGTTCGGCCTTATAATCTAAAGCTCTCTTGAGGCATTTGCTACAGTAATGAGAAGTGGTATTTTATCAAGGTCAGGTTACTAAATTTAAGTTGGAAATATTAGAACCCGCCGGGGAATTTGCAAGAAGGTTACACGTTCACGCGTGGTATACCTGGAACCATTTTAAGGTAAACTTAGAGGGATTGATATCTTTCGTATGCCTAGCGCTCAGACGAGATCTTATAATTTCATAGTTTTAAACGGGCTAAATACCTTAACTCGCTTAAAAAATAACGAGCTATACCGAAATGGGCACAGAAATAAAATCTAACATCATTAAATTATTTTTCATTTTTGTATAAAAGCGCGGGTATAAGCTAGTAAGACCATATATGTAAGGTATAACCTCCGACAATTTTACGGAACTCTATTCAGTGGTTTTTGAGTTTAGTCCGAACAACGAAAACGCCTATCATTTTTTTTATATAGGTATGTAGACAGGTCAGTCTATAACGAATCTCGTAAAAACCAAAGCTTCAAACTTTGTGCTAAATTTAAAAAAAAAACCTTCAATATTTCCACAAATTTTACCTTTTACCAAAAAATAAAAACAAAGTTACAATAATTCTGTTGGATCTAGAAATCTAGAAGAAAATGGTTCCCAATCGGGTGATACTTGCGCGTTTTCGCCATAAGTGCGGTATTGACAACATATGTAGCTGTGTCGAATTTCATGACGTTAGCGTAAGCGGTTCCAGAGAAAAGCTATATGAGAAGTTCAATTTGTATGGGACGTACAACGCACCCTTTTCCAATGCCAACCAGTTTTCCCCATAAGTAGAATATTTGCAATTTATGCTCCCATGCTAAGTTTCAGTTCAGTTCAGTTCCCTAGCGTTGGTTTTAGAGATATAATGGTTTTTTACTTTTTAGCCTGTATAAGAATTTTACGAATATCCCGACCCCAGCGCCACATACCGGGTAAATTTTTGGTCGTAATATTTATTTCCAAGGTTATGTTACAAATATGAACCAAATCGGTGCAGCCGTTTAGTAGTGAAATACAATGTACAGAAAACTATATGAAATTGTAAAACCGTGATGTCTCAGATTTCTTAATTTTTTGGCAGAAACAACAAAAAGCTTAGATTTTTCTTTTATTGAACACACTGAAATTGAGTGTCAATAAAACTAAGTTTGTGGTAACATCAAAGCGAAAGTTTCAGATCAGTGCAGTGCTAACTCTAAATATAAACAACGAAGCACTGGAAAAATTTAATACATTCAAATACCTAGGAATAAAGATCGATGATAAACTGAAAAAAATAATGGGTTCTATTTTTTCAGTTAGACCTCTAGCAGTATGTACATCGGTGAAAACTTGATTTAATTCCACAAATAAGTTTTTGCGTGATGCGCTTACAAACATACAGACAGACAGAACAAAATTCTAACAATTGTTGATAAACCCCCTATTAATTTGTTTTTAATATCTATGATGTACAGATATCGACGTTCGTTTGATATCCATATGGCAACATTTAGGTTATCTTAGCAATTTAACTGAATAACATTTTTTAAATAGGTGGCAACCCGCTTAAAAAGTATTTTCGAAAGCAAGCTCCTTAAACCTCTTTAGTTTAATATCCGTATTGTAATATTTCATTTATTTTACCAATTTAAATGAATACAATTTGTCAAACAGGTGGCAGATGCCTTAAAAGTATTTTCGGAATTAAAATTTCCTGACCTCTTTAGTTTGATGCCAGTATTGCATTATTTAATTTATGTTATCAATTAAATTAAATAAAAGCTTTCAAACAGGTGGCAACCTTCCACAAAAATATTTTCAGCTGTAGGCCTTTATAAACCTCTTTCTTTTGACAGCCATATTGCAATATTTACTTTATCGTATCAATTTACTTAAAATGAAATTTTCAAACAGGTGGCAACTCTCTAATTTTTTCATTCTATATTGAAAGTTAGACTTCTAGCGATACATCGGTGAAAACTGAATTCGATTCCATGCATTAGTTTTTGAGTGAAGCGCGCACAAATATACAGACAGACATACAGACAAAAATTCTAAAAATTGTTAATTGGGCACATCGGTATGTTACAATTTTATTATAAGTATAGATATACATTGATTTCATTTATTTGATCAATTTAATTCAATAAAATTTTTCAAACAGGTGGCAACCCTCCTCCAAAAATATTTTTGGCAATAAAATTTCCCAAACCTCTTCAGTTTGATGCCCATACTACAATATTCAATTTGTCTTATAAATTTAATTGAATTAAAGTTTTTAAACAGGTGGCAACAATAAAAAAAAAAATTCCGTCTGTAAGGCTTCTTAAACCTCTTTCTTTTGACGCCCATATTGCAATATTCACTTTTTCTTATCAAATTACTTAACCTGAAATTTTCAACCAGGTGGCAACTCTCTAATTTTTTTGTTTCTATATCTTAAGTCGGACCTCTAGCAATACATCGGGGAAAACTGCATTCAATTCCATGCATTAGTTTTCGAGTGACGGGCGTGCAAACATACAGCCAGACAGACAAAAATTCTAAAAATGGTGGATTTGGCTTCTGTTGCTCTAATAAAGATCTTTAATGTACAGACATCGGCCTGTTACAATTTTATCATATGTATAGATATGTTAGCCACAAACATGCGGTCGCGAACGTACGAATAATAAGGGAAGTCGCTTTTGGCTGCAAATTGAAAAATACAAGAAACTGCGAAATGAACAGAATATTCTAAAGCGGTTAATTTTATATTAATGTGGAATAAAGGTACTTCCTCCTCACTAATTGCGCGTTAAAATATCTCTATTAGTTTTTTATTTATAAGCTTAAGTACCGGTCGCGAACGTACGGGTCGAGAACGTACGATTTTTCCATCATTTTTTATACCTTTCATGAACATGAAATGGTATTATAAATTTGGTCCAATGTTTGTAAGTACCAGAAGAAGAAGATATAGACCCACATAAATTTTTACCAAAATTATCAAAATGTCGAGCCGAGTCGATTTAGCCAAGTCCATCTGTCTGTCTGTTTGAACGCAATTTAGTCCCTCAGTTTTCGAGGTATCCGACTGAAATTTGGTAAGCGAGTGTGTTTTTATAATATATTAATAATTTGTCGGAACGATCAAAATCGGTCCACTATAACTTATAGCTCCCATACAAATTGTTAATTTTATTTCTCGGTCCTGGTTGACCATTCTATGGAAATGCTCATATGGTCTTTAGTTGTGTCTCACTTAAATTAATTTTAAGTACTTAAAAATTATAGCTTCTAAGTACTTAGTTTTGCTAAAAATGTTAAGATATTTCTGAGCTCGCGGTCTGTTGGGCCGGGGTCCCCTCGGATCGAAGGCCCGTGGTATTTAGCCAGCCATGCCACCCTATATTTACGCCTCTGAGACTAAGGGTAAATAATCAAAAGAAATGAGACCTGGCTGGCATGCCCTGTCATGCGCTGCGCCGGTTAATCGCTTGTATGCAAAACTCACTAAGCAGATTCGATATGTGATAGTGCTCTTCAGAACAATGTATGGGCTCAGTTATGCATACTTGGAATTGCACGAGAGTTGTCACATAAGGAATCCGTCACATGAGCTTTGCGAGTAAGCGCTTACCCAACGCATAACATTACATATGTAAAAGTGTGTTGGTTTTTGATTTATACGTAAAACCGACATTATATGCAGTGCAGTGCAAAGTATCCTTAAGTGACCTATAAGTATTACCAGCGTTGTACGGTTGTTTTACACTCTTTGCTACTCTCTGCCTTTCCGTTTACCGTATCAGCATAAACACTATTTTTGTTTTCGATGTTGTTAGTTTTGCTGTTTTGTTCTGGCTGTAACTTTGCTAGGAAACCGGCTGTATTTGAGGATTTTGGTTGTGGCTTGAATTGTTGTTGCATTGGTGGAATTGGTGGCAATATAGTAATTGCCCCTTTTGTGTATTCAATGCACCTTGCGTGAGTGTAACTGAATGAGCGGGTGATTTGTTATTGCTGATGGTACAACAAATAAACTTGCAACAACAATAACAGACCCATACAGTTACTCTTACCCAAGATACAACGAATACACAAAAGAGGGTATTCACCCATAATGTATCTCGATGTAACGAGCTTCGGTGGACAGCTGTACACTTGTTGCAGCTATACATTTCGTTTTTCGCTTTCATTAATTGATGTCCATTATTCTAAAAATATTACAAAAAGTTTTAATTTAATATTTCTTATGCTAGTATACCTCATAGCCACAATTTATCAGCAACCCATTTGCTTGCCTCCCCGGACGGTTCACGTTACCTATTGGAAAATTCTAATGGTGAGTGATGTCAGTCATTTTTTAACAATTTGATTTATTATGAATTACTTTGTAGATTTGTGTCAATTAGATGAGAGCTATTCACGGCTGGCTGGTTGTGGGTCAAGTCCAGACGGCACATCGCTTTGGGCACGACATGGTATTGTCTCATCTCACAATTCCATAATAAACTGTTTCTTGGTCTGTCAACGCAGTCTAAAGCAGTATATGGCAAGACGAAAGGTGAACTCAGCGATATTTCTATATTTAGAAATATTGTAAAACTAAACTTCTCTTTCTAAAATATCCACCAAAAGATTGAGCGAGGACTGCGTCTATATGAGCAGCACAATCAAAATGCTGCTGTACGCATATGGCGAAGCGCTTTAAAAGCAGCAAATCGTCGCGAAGATTGCTTTCAATTATTAGGCTATCTTTACCAGGCACACATGGATTGGGGAAAATACCGCGAAGCGATAGAGTTCGGGCATCGACAATTAGGCATTTCTGAGGAATTGGACTCACCCGCGATGCGTGCGGAGACTTATTTGAACTTGGCCAGAGCCCACGAACGCTTAGGTGGCCTGGAACGGGCACTAAGCTATGCTCGTCACTCACTGTACAACGAATGCGGTACCCAGTGCCGCACGGGAGGCTTAGTGCATCTGACAGTGGCAAGGGTTTACTTGGAGATGGGTGGATTTTCGCGTGCGCTTGAGGGTTTCCAAGGAGCGCATAAGATAGCCACTGCCATTGGCGATCCATCGCTGGAGTTGCAGGTGTACGTTGCGCTCTCAGAGTTATTCGGCCGTCTGCAAGATAATGATAAGAGTGCAACCTATGCATCTAAGGCCTATGATTTATCACGTTCGTTGCAGCTGGGTGATCTCAATTCGTCGCATCATCGGGCCGCGCTGCTGCGTATGGCAGCCGCTCTTCGCAAACAAGGTGACCTGGGTGACGCACATGATTATTGTATGGTACGTATAGGATCTAGTATTGTTGGAGATTGTGGCATTGATATGAGAATGGGCTTGTTTTGTTTCAGGAAGCCACGCGTCTTTCGCTGATCTCTGGTGATCAAGCGACATATACACGTAGTTTGCGAGTTATGGGGGATATCTATCGCAAGAAAGTGGACATGGATGTGAGTCACTATTGTATTCACCGCAGTTTTTTTTTTATTTAAAAGTGTGAATATACAGTCTTGACCGATACGAAGTCGGTAGGGTTTTCAAAATTACATTCGAATATTTTCTTTCAATATCGTAGCTGGCGTTTCCTCAATGGTTTTCATGTAAAATGTAAAAATGTTTAACGTTGATATTAAAAAACAACACTTTACATTATAAACCGTACCTATTTCTCACTACACGATTTTCAGAACTGTTATTTTAAAGATCTATACCCAATTATTACAGCGCGCTTTTCGACAATATGAACAAGCGATGGGTACTTCGGCAGCACTTGGCGATCGTATGGCGCAAATGGAGGCAATGGACGGCGCAGCACGCTGTTTAGAAGCACTAAGGTTACAGCAGAAGATTTGTAATTGCCGACCACTGGAGTTCAACACACGTTTGCTCGAGGTCGCAAGCTCCATTGGCGCTAAGGTAGAATCTGGACATTATTTTCTTACCATTATAAGAATAAATTCTCAGCCAACCACTCAATATTTTTTCTACTTATTTATAGCTCTTGGTGCGTAGGATACGTAGCCGACTGGCTCTCATATACCGTGCTTTGGGCGATGAGGAACAATACAACACACATTCACGCTTAGCCGGCCAAACTGATGCAGCTCTCGGATTGCTATGCGGTGCATGTGGGGAAACCTTTGGGCTAGAGCCGAACTCGATTGAGGCCCTACCATGTGCTCATATCCTACATGCACGGTAAGCTAATGCAGCTAATGATTAAGCTCTAATTCTAAACTTGGTATATGGCCTAACCATAAATTAAATTTTAGTGGCTCTCCTCATCTAGATAACTTTTTGGCTCGTAGTTAACTCTGTTCGCATTACTAAAAATGTAACCACTTGGCAATATGTAGATATAAAGCGTTGTAAATCGTACATCCTCGTTGAACTCAAGGCTGAACAACGTGGAAAAGGGATAGATTTAGGGATGCAATATCGCTCATAAAATCATCGATTTTGGTGATGTCGATATTAACCAAACAAATATCGGCTGATCGATATATCGACGAAAAATATCGATATTATATCGATATTGTATATCGGTTTAAGATTTTTTTGTAGATTTTTTCTATTTACATAAGTGTATGTAATTTGCTATGTACAAATATATTGTCCATGAAAATACATGTACACATATGTATTAGAGGTATACGCCGCCGAGCCACGCCGTCGCCGCACAGTGGGAAATACTCTTAATCTTACATCTCGCCCAACATTTTCGCAGCATCTCGTTTTCCGGTTTTATATAAGCTTACTTTCGTTGATGGAACGAGTTTTTCGCTGCTTTTATCGCCAACAAGAGGAACTTCGAGGAGTTTTGCACTAGAACACTTCTCGAAAAACGGCCCCCAAGGCCTTTCTGTTTTAGAGCAAGATGATTCCCATGTTTCTCCAATTTCCTTGTCGTTTTCATCTAGTTTCGGATATGAACACACAACAGCCAACCATTTCTCATTTTTTATTTGGAACTTTTCATTGGTTCCTTTACATATTTTCCATTTGGACGTAAGTTTGGATACAAAAAATTTTGTTCGTCTTCCTCCAGCTTAAGCTTATTACATACGTATCTTTTTAGTGTTGAGACTTTTTTCTTGTGTTGTTTTCACTCAGCCACACATTATATGGTTCCCTTTTTATTATAGACATGCTACCAAAAAATAAAAAAATAAAAATATTACTTAAAGTGGCGCTTGGTGGTAGCTTAACTTTAATGATTTCTTTAATACATGAACTACTCTAAAGAACGCAAATAAAAATTTAAGGGTACTCCGGGGTACTCTTTTTCAAAACTCTCATTCAAAATGTGAGTCACATAAAAATTTTACATACCACAACTACAGCGCTTCAACAATTATTTACACAAGACGGAAAGAATCTTTAGTCACGAAACGATATAGAAAAAATTAAAAATACCCCCAATATCGTTAAATGCTTGAAAACAATGTAATTAAGTATTTATTGCAGAAATAATTGATTAACACGTGAACCCGTTTAGTTACAGCTGATCCAGTTTGCTCTATTTTTACTCCTCACCGATTCTAAAGCAAGGGGTGCAACAGAAAAACAGAAACACAGTTATAAACTATGGGAATTTGACAAAAAATTCTCATTACAATTTTGCACGATTTTAACAAGACAAAGTCTGACTTTTTTCATGCAAGATGGAGTATTTTCGCCACTGTGCTCTGCCGCCTTTTTTGTAATTTTTCAATTTCGGCGCCTGAGGATTAATGTACAAAATATTAATGATATACAGTGGTCCAAAAAAATTATAGCCGCACCAAAAGTTTTAGCAATTTATTTATCTTTTTGCTATTTAGTGTAAATCCATGTTTCAAACATTGTGCAATATTAAAAAAATTAACAAACTTTCGTAAAATAAACAATAAACACAATGTATTTTTATATGAAAGAAACTCGCAAAATCTTCAATAAAAGAACTTCTAAAAAATCAGGGGTAATTTTAAGCCATTTGAGACTTGCTCTATATTCTACTTGAATTCAATGGGCTATAAAACTACATACCTAAAACTTTCTAAGAATTCTAATTAAAAAGCTCGAAATTTTTGTTGAATACCTATATATGTATTTTTAATATTACCAAAAGTTTGAAGCTTGGATTTACACGGGTTTTGTTAAAGAATGAACTATTTTAAACTATTTGCTTCGCCGCGCCTAAAAAGAACTTCTGCGTTGGCCAATGCAAAAGAGCGTTTAAAAGCAAAAACAGTCTGTAAAGTCAAAATGTTTAGTTTAAGTTGAAACCACTAAAGTGCAGTATCCTCCTCACACATAGGCCAAGAATAGTGACGCTGTGATACCATATGGAATACTAATCCCTTTCGATGAGCTTTACCGATGGTCTTATTTTCACCTGTGAGGTCTCTGCCAAGCATGCGTAATATTTTTCTATGATCCTGCAACTACAACATTGGTGCGATTCGTATGCCAATAAAAGTTCTTATAAGGAAACTCAAGAGCACATTTTCTGTTATAGGAGGGCCAAGAATCCTCGCTGTCCCACAAGATGAAACATTTTCCCGTACATTGGCTAAACGAGTCGTGTGATCTCTTGAATATCGTTCAAATGAAGCAATTGATATACCTACGGTGATCTTTCCTTGTTAATTCGCCACTTTCACAATTCGTGTTAATATATATAATATGTTTATGAAATGATGTCTAGGTAGATGCAAGATCGCATTTAGGGTGCATGAGTGCGTCAGACAAAGGTGCGCTTACACAATTTTTCGGTCTTTCTACGCATACTTAACCCCATCCTTCATTATGGTATGTGGCTAATGGCCAAATGCGGCGGCGCTATTTGAGACATCGGCGTCGCCGCCGCGGCTATAGCTATCGGCGTAAACCTCTAATATGTATACATGGACTTGACACCTGTCACCTTTTGGTAACGATATATTCCTTTGGAGAATAACTCTAAATTTTTTAAATGTTAAAAAAAAATAACTCAGACAAAAAACGAGTTTGTTCATTGCGTAGATAAATACTTAACGAATAAAAAAGTAAACTTTAATACCTCACAAATAGACAGATCTTCAGTTGCTAACTCTTAACAGTATGAACTTATTATAACATTGTTTTACACTTAAAGACTTCATTTATTGATGTGTCTAAACAGTGATGCCATATGGGTGATAACAGTTTTGACCGATTCATTTTTGCAAGTAATCATTTCAACATTGTGTCTAGAGGAAACAAAAAGTTCGTCCAAATATAAATATTCTGGTGCCGACAAAATATATCGTCGATGTCGATATATCGGTATTGAAAACATCGCTATAAAAATATCGATATAGCTAATATCGATATATCGTTTGCATCCCTAGATAGATTAGACATCGTCGTCTCCATACAGCCAAAGCTGCCAAAGAGAAAGTGTTCGACGTAGGGATAAAAACGGTCTGTAAAAAAGTGGCTGCGATTATTCACAAATTTCTATACCGGATTTAAACCGCTTCAAAAAAATCAAATGAAAAACCAGGGTTTCAGTAAACCGAATTTTACCTTCGTATGCTAGAGATTTTAAATAGTGTGAATTTTATTGCAGGAAGATTTGTACTGTCCTGCCCGCCTTACTTGATACATATTCAATATCCCCGTCTCTTTTTACAAATCCGAAAGCCAAGGAATATGAAAGTACCCTCCAATACAAACGCAAAAGAAAATCTAATTTGGTTTCGAACTTCAAGCAATTTGTTTATCCTTCACAAACAAGATTTTACAAACAAAAATAAGTAAATGTGTATAAAGAATGGACACGAAAAAAACTAGTCGATTATGTTTACTCATCACTTGCATAAAACTAACTGAAAATATATATGTAGTAAGTATACACATTCATAGGGTATATTGTCTTTATTAATTTCGCGTATGTACTTTTTGTAACTTCTACGTATTCTTCGAAATGTGTTCGCCGAAGTCTGAGCCTGCGGAGAAAAGTTTCTGCACAAAGCAAGAAAAAGTACATATGTATTTGTGGACGAGGAAACGTACGTCGAAGCAGCCTTTAAGCAGATTCGGGGCGCTGAGTTTTATGATGCAACGAAGACAAATGGAGTCCAAGATGGCTTCAAGCTAAAAATGTTGGACAAGCTCCTTGTTTTTTGTTATTTTTCGCCTAATATATACTTGGTGTGGCAAGCCATCTGCCAGTGGGGCACGGGCTCTAAAAATCAAGAAATTTATATGAAGACGTGGTTGCAATAACGTTTGCTGCCATTCATAAAGCAACATAAAGGCTCAGTTCTATTCTGACCCGATTTAGCATTGAGCCATTACAGCCTTCTTGCCATGAACTGGTATGTCAGATAAGGGGTAGATGTTGTTCAAAAGGACCACAACCCATCAAACTATTCACAATGGCGACTACGGTTGCCAGACGTACTGATTTGATGAGTACAGTACTGGTTTTTTATCTCTCGTACTGACTTTAGTCATTTCTTTAATCAGAACGCTAAGGTCCTGATTTAAAAAAAATTGTGCTGATTTGTACCGAATTTTCAATTCTGAGCATACCCATTTGTAATAGCAGTCTTCCCACCGAACTTGGTACTCGCTGTTGGGTAATTTTTCCCCATGTATTTTGTTTATGGAATATTATTTCACACATAAACTTGCATAAACTGTATTGTAAAAAGTAGGAAAAAAATAATTTAATTATAGTTGATGTTTCAGATAATGTTTGATATGCGCAAGAAATACATAACAACAAGTAATTTTTAAGCAAAAAACAAAACCGACTTTATTTCTCATATAAAATTTCAAGATTATCGTTAATTTCTTCATGATCTAATGATCGGATGTAAACCAAATTTTGGATGGGACTACCTGTGAGGTAGCACCTTCCTTGAAAAAAGGAATTATAGAAATCGGTTAACGTCGTCTAAAGTTATGCGGTAACATACACAAAAAAAAAACAAAATATTCCGACGAACTGATAACCTCCTCCGTTTTGTGAAGTCGGTTAAAAAGAATAATCGGTTTGTGGGCATATCGCCGAGTCGTTACGTACCAATTGCCATAATATGATGGAGTACAATTTATTTAAAAAAATTTTTTGCAGGATGTTGCTTGTTATCTCAAAAATAACTTTCAGTTTGTTACCAAGAAATTAGAATAATTTAATGGCTTTTGCCTACAGTTTTACAATACTTTTTTCTCAATTTACTGAC